CACATAGCTTATCTTTCCTCCATCTTCTTTCAGAAGAAGCGACATTTACCAGGTCACTTATGGGTACTATAAAGAAATTGCCAATATGTTGCATGGAATCTAAATCCGGTTAGCATTTCAATGTTTTGACACTCCGTAGACCGCATAGTAGCTCGCCTGAGCCCTGAATTCGAACCTTGGCAGGTGCTTACTTCTAAAGACTCTCAAACTAAAACGAAACAACCATTCAGTACTCCTTGGTATTTTTCCAGTGGTTCTCTAAATGATGTCTGCTCGTGATCAGACCTGTCACCAGTCAAATCTCTGCGAACCAACTCTTGAAAATTAATCTATTGCTGACTAGTAACTGGCTGTCTAATGGATGTTGGCCTGGAGTTCTAGTGAGAAATCATGATCAGCTGGATCTAATAAGTCAGGCTAGAAGACAGTTGTTCGGTGATGACTTTGAGCAGCGGTGGGGTTATATATTTATTGTGGAATTCATAGACCATCGGATTCCGTCCCAGTGGCTGAGTGGTCTAAGACGTCGTTTCGTAACCAAGGGGTCCTCAGTTCGAACCCAGGTAGATGCGGAGTTCTCAAACAAACTACAGATCTCTATTAACAGTTGTCTTCGCTCAATACTCAAGATCAGATGGCCAGAAAAATTCAACAACAGAGATCTCTGAGAGCGAACCAACCAGGAACCGATTGTGAAACAAATAGGGAGGAAGAAATGGAGATGGATCAGCCATACTCTGAGGAAACCATCAAGTGACATCACTAGACAAGCCATTGCTCGAGTGGAACCCGACCGAAAGGGAAGCGGCGAGTTGGCCGTAAGTGCAAGGGTGACTTTCAGGAGATCATGTGAAGAGGAGATGAAAACGTGTGGTCAGACATGGAGCCAGGTGAATACTCTAGCAGAGAACAGAACGCAATGGAGACGTACGGCTGAAGCCCTATGTTCCTGTAGGAATTAAAGGATACAATAATAATAATAGATGCGGAAAACTAATCCCTGACGTCAAATCATAAACAAACCTGTAAACTATACAATCAACTTTATTATTTTCAATAGTTGCTCATGGATCGATATCAGTTAGAGAGGCATTGAAAACCGGGGAGTACTGGACAGCTGTTTCATCCAAGTTTGGGAATCATTGACAGTACGCATCCACAGCCAGGGTTCGAACCAAGAAGCCTCCAGTTACAAGGCAAGCTCGTATACCATTCAGCCACTGGGACCCGATTCAATGGACAGCCCATGAATTCTAACTTCTACCAATTCATGATTTAGCGTGACCTCAACCATCCTCATACTTTACTGGATGGACCTCAGTGGTCACGAGTTCCCACTAGAACTCCAGGAAACTCTTTCCTGTAGCAAGTCACTAGCGAGCATCCAGTTAATTTTCTATAGTTGGTTTGTAAAGATTAGTTTTGTTTTTACGAGTGTGACCATGGATTGATATCAGCTGGAGAACCATCGAAAACCAGCATCGGAGGAACGGACAGTTGTTTCATCCTAGTTTGGGAATCATCGGCAGTACGCAACCACTGGGGTTCAAGCCCAGGAACTTACAAACCAACCACTGAAAGTTGATCTGATGCTCGCTAGTGACTGGCTACAGGACGAAGTTTCCTGGAGTTCTAGTGGGAAGTCGCGACCAGTGAGGTTCATCCAGTCAAGTGTGAGGATGGATATCTCCCCGATGACATTGGTTTGGGGTCGCACTAATTCACGAATTGGTAGAATTTATAATTCATCCACTGGCCACTGCATCGAGTCCTGCCAGTGGCTCAATGGTATACGAGCTTGCCTTGTAACCGGAAGCTCCTTGGTTCGAACCCTGGCTGTGGGTGCGCACTGCTGATTATTCCCAAACCAGGATAAAACAGCTGTCCAGTCCTCCACTGATGGTTGTCAATGGTTCTCTAACTGATATCAATCCGTGATCAACTCGTTAAAAATAATGTTTATTATTCCAAATGAAATAAAGTATACTTTTACACACAGAAGCCACTATATGTAGTATACAGTGCAATAATGATCACTTTATTCCAGGCAATAATAATCATACAGAGTAGATACATTCCATCAATTTAGCTCCTTTTATAAATGTATAGACACATTATTTAGTAAAAATAATAAAACCACAGAAACTGAACATTAGTGGAATATGATTTATAATAAACAATATTTGTGATAATAGTTCTCGTTATAGCTTGCTGTTCATTTACTGACTTAAAACGTCTACAAACCCTTTCCTGACACTTGTCTTTATACACAAAACCTGTGCTAAGTAATATGGTATATATGGTATTATAAATTATTTGAATTAATCCCAGCGTGTTAAGAAAATCAAAACAAGATCTGTTTTCCGAACGTTTCGCTGTGTAAGCCACAGCTTCTTCAGCAGGTTTATTCAGATTTTTATTAATCACCAAAATATGTAGTCAAAAATTTTACATAAATTGAAGTCAGTTTATTTGAAGGTCATTTGTCCATGGACATTTTTACCAATAGAAATATGTAAGCAGTCATCACATATATTTGTAATGACTAATGTCAAATTGTTATTGTGTTCACCCTTCTATAGTTGATTTGTACAGATCAGTTTTTTATGAGTGTGTTTGTGTGTATGTATGTTATTTGTCATGTGGAAAATACGTGAATTCATATGAGATAAACAAGATCCTACATGTTTCTGAAAGGTCATGGAGGCTCATAGAGTGTTTATTGATTTTTTCATCTGTCTTGCTTCATAAGAGTTTGCCATATAGGTGATAAGTCTATCTCTTCTTTCCTATTCACAGCATTCGATGTGGTTAAGATGTGCAAGGCTTCAGAAGTCAATCTTTCTTTATGTGAATGAAATCCTCTTCCAAGAATTTCGACATTGTCGAAATCAATCTTATGTCCGCTGTCCATAGATAGCATGCATTGCTATAGCCGATCTTTTTTCTAGACTTTTTAGTTCTACTTCATTTCTAGGTGGACGTTTCGTGCATAGTCTATGTTCATTCACTCTGACCTTCACCTGCCTACTGCTCTCCCCTATATAGCATGCATCACATTCTGAACACTTTATCTTGTAGACACAATTACTTTGTGACATTTTGGGAACTATATCTTTCACATGCACCAGCGCTTTCTCTAGAGTATTAGGTTTGACGTAGACTTTAATATTATATGAAGCAAATGGTCTTTGAAGTTGTTCAGCTGTGTCCTTTCGGTATGGGATGGCTATCGTCGATAGCCAGGATTTTTCAATCTTTTGTTTTCCCTTATGCTCCTTTCTATTGATAATATTATCTAGTAGCTTTTCAGGATAACCATTTCCAATCAAAATCTGTTTTATGCTGGATATCTCATTCTCCATATCGTCATTATCTGTTATAATGTTTCTAGCTCTGTTAACGAGATTTAAAGCTACTGAAACTTTCATTCCTAATGGATGATCCGATTGGAAATTCAAATACTTGTTGGAATGTGTCGGCTTTCTGTATATGGTAAACTTTAGTTTCTCGTCAGTTTGTCTTTTTACAAGACAATCCAAAAAGTTTAGAGTTCCCTCAGCCGATTCTATTTCATTAGTAAACTCAATATATTCTGAGATTAAGTTAATTTTTGTTAGAAAGTTTTCCTTTTCAGCTTTCTTTATGATGATAAATGTGTCATCTACATAACTGTACCATATTCTAGGATGACAACTAAAACTTGTCAATGCTTTCTTTTCTAGGGCTTTCATATATAGGTTTGCTACAATTGGAGATGCTGGTGAACCCATTGCAACTCCATTTGTTTGACAGTATAGTTTGTCTTTAAAGGTAAAATATGTAGATTCCAAACAAAGTTTTAAGCATTTTATAACTTCATCTATTGATAATAAAGATTTAGTTAATACTTCTTGATTGTTTTCAAGTTCATATTTCATAATATCGAGTGAATCACAAATAGGAATACTAGTAAATAAAGAAACCACATCAAAACTTGCCATAATTTCGTCTTCTTCAATAATTATGTCCATTACTTTCCTTTTAAATTCCTCAATATTTTTGATGTTCGAAGGAATATTGTATTGAAGTGGTTTCAGTATTCGTGATATGTATTTTGATAAAGTGTATGTTATTGAATTGGTAAAATCAATTATTGGTCTTAAAGGAACATCTATTTTATGTATTTTTGGCCTTCCATAAAATCTCGCGGCCGTGTTTGTCTTGGGAGCTATTGAAAACCAAACTGAATTCCCTAGTTTTGGTTTCAATTCTCTAAGTATATTGCATACTTGGGCTTTTACTTTGTTCATCGTACTAGACATTTTGTTTACTGGTAATAATGTGTAAGGCCCTGCTTCGATATGTTCCAAAGCTTTTTTGTCATAGTCGTCTTTATTAAGAATTACAGTGATATTGCCTTTGTTGAATTTTTATATTTATTAGCTGTACGAGTATAAATTCTTTATGAAATTTCTTTTATGGCTTTACCCGAAAGAGAAGGAAGTTTTGACTAAAGAGGATATCTGATATCAGGCAAAAATTAAGAAGCCTTTCAACAACAGTATGAGTTAATTGAGCCAAATGGCATATCACTAATCCCACTCACAGTCTTCAATGTTCTACGCAGTATGACACGGTCTTTATTGAGAAGTTCAGGGGAGAATAAGGGAGAACAATCAAAAAGAGGTTGAGTTATGCCAGCAGAAATTTTCAACTTCTCTACGTAACATGTCAAAAGTAAAAATCGCCTCAGCAATCCACAGGATATGAGAGGACCAATAGAGATTCGAAGAGAAACTGATGCGGAGATAGAAGGTATTCGATTTACTCCCTATCACACAGTACCGTCAATATTACAGGAATTATGAAAGGGAATCAGTTCACTCAAGTCCAGTTCGCATCTGAAACTGAAACCTACTTCATGACATTTCGATGGATTCATGTATTAAGATTATTTCAGTGAGACTATTTGTTAACTTCAGATATCTTTCTTTTTTTCTCTCATATATATTCTTTAGTTAGCTGCATTACACTGTCTAGTTTCAGTGATAACGCATCTATCCGATCAAATTATCACCAATGATGTAATACCATTTTTGTTAAATGTTTCAACTAAACTGCAAACAACTGGTCAACCGAAGCTAAACGGGGATCATCGTTCTCGTGAGGACGTTAAAAACGGGGAACATGGATTGTCAGAATATGATGATGGTGATGATGATGACAATGACAATGATATTCAACTGATGAGTTCTGGTGTTAAGAAGCGCAGTCATCTTTCATACAATGGCAGACAAGAACAACAACAACAAGGAGATGAGGGTGAAGAACAACCAATCGCTGAATTATGCAGTAAGTGAGAAGAGGAAAGATTTGTAGTGTTGAGTTAGCATATGGATTATTATTATTAATATTGTTAATGATTACTCCTCTGGGTTCCTAGTGACTTCTGGAATTAGTTCTTTGACACCTCTTTCAGCTGCCTCCACAGCTGCCCACAAGGTTTCATTTAGACATAATGGAGACTTGCAACTGAAGTGGATGATTTTTATGTAGATGTGTTCTCTGAGCTGGATGGTTAACGAGTTTGTTAGTCATCTCTCCTTGTGACCTTGAAAGTGATTGCCTGTTTTTGTTTTGTTTTCACACCGTCTAGGCTACTTGTATTGGTACTGATAGCTTCCTTGATCTGAAGTTTGACCCTTTGTGTTTGGGATTTCCTTCTTATCGATTGGTAAAGGTTGTCTATGTCAATGTGTCTACTGACTGATGATTCACTGGAATACAAGGTTTCTAAAAATTCTCCAGTATTCTTGGTGTTTCCTCTGTCTAATATTTGAACGTTGTCTCAGTCGAATTGATGTCCGTGGTTGTCCATATGCCATTGCAAATGACGGGGTTGATTTCATGTCTTTTGACAGCTAGTTTATGTTCGTGGCTACGAAGACGAAGTGGACATCGTCAACTTTGGTCAATGTAGTATTTTTCGCAGTTGTTACAATTTATTTTGTAGATGATGTTGGTTTTATCTTCTTTCGTCGTTGAGTATTTTGGTTAACACAGAGCCGAATTAAATGATTTTGTTGGTTTGTTTGTGACATCGATTCCTAAAGGTTTGAAGGGTCTTGCAGTGATTTCTGAGATTTTTGTTCTGCTTTTTTGGGGGGTCTTTGATTTGGTTAGTTGCCTTGGCGGTAGACATCTTTTGATGAAAAGAGAAAAAAATTTAAAAGCTCACTTCAAATTAAAGCAAACGCTGAGGATGTTGACTAGAAAGGCAATGAAAGCCTTGCAAGTAAAACCCTTCAGCTCTGAGAACACAACTACATCAATCATATCACTACAGGAGGTCCAACTCGTCACTCAGCCATTACGGATGTGGTATCCTCAGAGTATATCCCGCCCAACTATGTGTCCTTCTGTATACGTCTTCAGCTATAAGCTACCGGCTGGCTTGTCGTGCCGCCAACGTCGTTCGTTTGCCCTTTGGAAAGGCTTTCAGTGACGCGTGAATAAAATCTCTGAATATCACGATCTAGTTGCTCGTCGTATGTGCGGTAGATTTCCAAGCTGATTTAGGAGTAACGAACGCCTGTCTTTCTTACTTACCGGTGTTTTAACTATCCTTTTCTGTGAAAATATTGTGTATAATTGCGATTGTTCAGTTAAAGAGAGTAATGGATTCACCAAAAACAATCTTTTCATTGAACACGCTACTTCATTTTTATCCATTAATATCTGGATGGGAATTATTCATGAAATCCGGATGATTTAAATTATTAATCCCCATGGATACATAAAAAATAAAGAATTCATCTCATAGCTGTATAATCGCATACATATATATATGTATATGTATATATATGAATTACAACAGAGAGTAAGAAAGTTCTGGCTTTATGTTATGTGTTCCCATAGCCTTCACGCTACACTAAGCAAATGCACTTGTTTCCCTTTCCGTAAACTTTATCGAACTTTGTAGACTATATTAAGAGATGTGTCAGATGCTGCGAGGTCAGTGTCTACAATGTGTTGCAATATCGACGAATTAATACGATTTACGCTCTCATTCGCTCAGCCAAGTTTGGAAGTGCTCAGCTCCGCAAGAGCAGGTGAACATATAAATACACATGGATTAATATGAACTGTCATCAAGATTTGACAGAATAGTTCTAAAATATTTGGGCGCCGAGTGAGAAGTAGACATTTGTAAAAAATGATATTTGTAAAATCTCAGCGAGATTGAAATAAGTAATTCCAACGTTTCGTTCGGCAATCTGGTCCGAACTCCTTCAGGGAAATTAATCGAAATTAACATAACAGCGGTTTATATATACAAAGGACATCTCTTGTTCTTACAAACCTTGTCCAATCATATGAGTCATGAAACAGGTATCAACAAGTATAATAAACAAAATTGTATGAGCTGTGATCAAAATTTGACCTCGGACTTACAAATATTGGTCTACTTTAGTTAAACACTTTAAAAAGAGTGTACTTTTCATCAGAACTTTAGTGATTACGTTCGACTAAAACTTCATGGTGTTAGAAAACTGAATCTGAAAGATATATGTGTGTATATGTGGTATACAATGGTGTGTGCATGTGTGTGTGGGTTAACAGTTGTAAAACATTTGTTAACATCTCCATAAGAAGATATTGACAGTCGGGAATTTTGACCCAGTATGATTAATTAGTGATACATATACATTTTTTATTTATTAATAAGGATTTCCTATGCATCAGCTAACATCACACCTTCATGTCTGTTCAAAATGTTAGTATCTAGAATTTTATGATTAGACGTATTTTCAAAATTATGGTGTTTAGGATTAGAGTTTAGTAGAAGCACCCTGTCGGACTTATTGCTTTGTCTTCTTTCTGAAGATTGAGCTGCTTTATTCGACCTACTGGAGTTGTCAGGTGACTCGACAGCTACGGATTTAGGATATGCATTCTGTTGCAGACAACGGAGAGTGAAAATACGATGATTGTGCCAATTACCTAGTTTCTTTGTTAATTTGATTCGATTGCAAAATAATTCATATGAACTGTTTTTAAAAGTTTTTAAAGACAAGAGATGTTCTTTTTATATATTTAAACCACTGTCATGTTAATTTCGATTAATTTCCTTGAAGAAGTTCAGACCAGATTGCCGAACGAAACGTTGGATTTTACAAATATATTAGTTTTTTACAAATACGCATGGAATTAGACAATGGAATTAACATTTCCCTAACAACATTGAGAAGAAACAGTGGACGCCTAGAGTAGTTTATTCTAGAGTGGCGGTGCAAAGAACGTTTTTCTCAATAATCTTATCTTTAAGCACTTCACTCACCGTATCACCGCTAATTTTTAAGTTTAGATGTTACACCTCTTTTAGCTACCTTGTCCCTCTCTGTATTTCATGGACGTAATTAGCTACTGGCCTCAACGTAGCGTAGTGGATATCCATTCTCTATGAAGTCCTCTATCAACTATTTTAGTTCACCCTCAACCCGTCTTCACTTGAAAAAAGGGTTCCCAGGCTCAAACTTTGAACTTTCAGTAGCTAGTCTCCCACCAAATCTTCCTCGAATTCTCAGAACTTATTATCAGCCGTGTAAACTAGGCCAGATTTAGAACTGCATCGGAGTCAGATTAGACTTATCCTTTAACTGTTAAGGCAGGCTTAGTTAAGTGTTTAACAAACCGAGCAATGGCACTAAGTAGCACAAGAAAAGACCTAAATGATGAAATTAAACAGATAGAAGAGGCGTTGGTGTTAAATAACTATCCTTTAAAATTCATTAGGAAGATTGAAAAAGGCCAAAAGAAAAGGAAAAATAATGGTGAAACTAATAATAATGATAACATAAATAAGAGAAAATATAAGTCATCCACTGTTATACCATATAAGGAGGGGACATCTGAGACCCTACGTAGGAATCTGAATAAAGCAGGAATTACAGTGGCATTTAAACCTACAAACTCACTCAGTTAGGACAAGCTCTGTAGATTAAAGGACCCTGTCGGTTGACCTAATTAGACAAAATAATATAATTTACAAAATACCCTGCAATGACTATGAGTTGGGTCAACTACATAGGTCAAACTAGTAGGTCAGGGGTAGTCAGATTGTCAGAACATAAGAATTTCGCCAAGGTAAGAATGGTTGACCCAGAGAAGATAAGTAATTTAAAAAAAAAGCTCGGCAATTGCAATGCATGCATTAACACACAACCACACAATAGGATTGGTGGAGAGGGTTAAAATTCTAAAAAGTAATCTAGGTAGGTGGAGAGCAAGAGAGGTTGATTACTGAATCCTTGTTCATCGAGTGAGTCTACACCCAACACATGCAATAGAAATGATTCATCACTCATACCCGAAATATGGAAAATATTACTACCAATCATATCAAGTGAAAATCAATGGAACTATATAAATGAATTTAGGAAGTCATGTGATTACCTTGATATGATTATGAGCAATAAAGTGTGCTCGAAACTTGGTCATCAGTAAATATTACTGTATAACACTGTAAGACTTTATCAAAACAAAATTTACCCATAATGGAATTACACTCTACCACAGTGCACAAGTTTTATATTTATATCAGTTTAGACTTATGTTTGGCCTTTCATTCTAACATTAAAGTTTTGAATTTGCAAAAGCTACATACAAGCAGAATTCAACTGTTGTAGGGGACATTAATCTTTCTCCCCGCCCCTCCCACGTATGATTCATTCATAATTGGATTACACCGGGACTGAGCATAACTACCAGTGTAACATTTTTGATTAATGGATTCTGACATTTGACAATCATCGGTAGTATTTTTCTCCGACATGTATATAATTCATTATTTTTTGAATCTGAAAGAAACCCCTGAAAAAAGGAATGGTTACATAAAGGCTGACAGTAGAGAAACAACCATTTTAGAATAATAAAAAACACAATCAGCGAAAATCAAGTCGTCCATGTGACATGTCATTTGTTACAAATGTACCGTAGGAAAAATTATAAAGGAAGCATATATGAATAATAGGTATAGATATGATGGAGAAGATTTGTAGCTCAGGTGGATGATTTTGATGTGGTTGTGTTCTCTGAGCTGGATAGTTAATTTGCGAAGCTTTCATCACCTTACTAGGTGACATCTTCAGCGCATACTTCAATTTGAAGTGAGCTTTTAGATTTCTCCACGAGTTTATTAATCATCTCTCCCGGTGACCTTGAACGTGATTGATTGTTTTTGTGTGTTTTCACACCTTCTAGGCTACTTGTATTGGAACTGATTGTTTCTTTGACTTGAACTTTGACCCTTTGTGTGTGAGGTTTCTTTCTTATCGGTTGATAAATTTTGT